TTGAACCTCTATTATGGTGTTTAAAAAAAAAAAAATTTCCATGCAGCTTGCAGGCATTTCACTCTTGTGACTGTACCTTTTTAATTTCTGTGTCAACTAGCTTCCTTATTTTTGGGTCGTCCCCCTTTCTGAAGTTAAACATTACTGTGCTGGTCTCCTTTGGTATTTCTCCCCCTCCCCCTCCGAATGTTAAATCTAATTATATGACGGTTGCTATTATCGAGTGGTTCAGCTATATTCACCTTCTTGGGCCAGATCCTGTGCTCTACTTAAGACTAAATCAAGAATTGCCCCTCCCCTTGTGGGTTCCAGGACTAGCTGCTCCAAGAAGCAGTCATTTAAGGTGTCAAGAAACTTTCTCTCTGCATCCCCTCCTGAGGTGACATGTACCCAGTCAATATGGAGATAGTTGAAATCCCCCATTATTATTGAGTTCTCTATTTTTATATCCTCTCTAGCCTCCCCAGGCATTTCACACTCACTATCGCCAGCCTGGTCAGGTCATCAGTAGTATATTCCTACTTCTGTACTCTTCAAGCATGGAATTTCTATCCATAGAAATTCTATGGTACAGTTTGATTCATTTAAGATTTTTAGTATATTTGACTCTCTGCTTTCTTTTACATATAGTGCCACTCCCCCACCAGCACAACCTACTCTGTAATTCCTACATATTTTTGTCCCCTGGTTTTACCATGTCCCATTGATTGTCATCATTCCACCAAACTTCTGTGATGCCTATTCTATCAATATCCTCCCTTAATACTAGGCACTCAAGTTTACCCATCTTAGTATTTAGACTTCTAGCATTTGTATACAAGCACTTATATAATTTGTCACTTTTTAGTTGTCTGCTTTCACGTGATGTAATTGAATGGGACTTTTTGTCATATGACTGTTTTTTCTCTGCAGTTCCTACCTGTACTTTATCAAATTTTATCCTCTTCTCTTTACTAGGATATAGAGGATCCTTGTTAATACAGCCTCCCCTATGGTATGTCTCTGGCCCAAACTGTGTGCTCCTCTGCACCTGTCAGCTTTACCCCAGCCCGTAGTTTAAAAATTCCTCTATAATCTTTTTAATTTTACATGCCAGCAATCTGGTTCCGTTTTGGTTTAGGTGGAGCCCCATCCTTCCTGTATAGGCTCCCCCTTTCCCAAATATTCCGCAGTTCCTAATAAACCTATAACCCTCCCTACACCATCATCTCCTAATGCAGTTTTGCCTGTCTAGCTGGCCCTACACCTGGAACTGGAAGCATTTCAGAGAATGTTACCTTGGAGGTTCTGGACTTTAATCTCTTACCTAGCAGCCTCAATTTGGCCTCCAGGACCTATTTCCTGTCCTTCTCTGTCATTGGTGCATACATGTACCATGACCATTGGCTCCTTCCCAGCACTGCCTATAAGCCTGTCTAGGTATCTTGAGATCCACAATCTTTGTACCCGGCAGGCAATTCACCATACGGTTGTCTTGGTCACTACAAACCCAGCTATCTATATTTCTAAAGATCGAATCCCCCATTACTAATACCGGTCTCTTCCCAATAACTGGTATTCCATCTCCGGGGAGGTATCCTCAGCACAAGAGGATACCACGACATTATCTGGAAGGAAGGTCCCAACTATGAAATTGTTTCCCTCCACTTCACTTTGATGTTCTCCTTCCCCGAGACTTTCATCCTCAACAGCACAGAGGCTGTCACACTGGGGGTAGGACTATTCTGTTGTGTCCCGGAAACTCACATCTGTGTGCCTCTCTGTCTCCCTTAGCTCTTCTAGTTCAACCACTCTGGCCTCCTGAGCCCATACACAGTTTCTGAGGGCCATGAGCACATTACACTGAATGCACACATATGGTACCTGCCCACAAAGCAGGTAATCATACATGCTATATTCCATGCAATAAACTGGGTAGCCCCCACTCTGCTGCTGGACTTCTGCCTGCATTCTTTTTACTCCTGCAGCTTTTTTGGGGTTGTTGGTTTTTTGTGTGTGTGGGGGGGGAGGGAGGAAGGTGTCGTGGTTTGGGTGGGGAGTGGTTTATTGGCCTAAGTTTCGAGAATGTTCTGTGGATCTGACTCTCTGGCCCCCTCTCAAAACTCCTCTGTTTATGCTCCTGTTCACTTGCTCCTCTGGTTGCTTAGGCACTGGCTTTTTAAACCCCTGTTTTCCCTAAGTAGCCCGGTCCCCTGGTTAATGGATCCTAAACAGATTAAGGATCAAAGTCTCATTAAGAAGCTCTCAGCCTTGCCTAGCTGATTCCAGACAGGCCTTAGGGCCTGCTTCTAGGAGGTTCAGAGCATCAGTCAGTTGCAGTTGAGGGCACTCAACACTTCCTGGAAGGACCAGGCCATTTATTTGGTAAACTGATCCAGTCATTACACAAGGATGGGAATTGCTGATCTAGACCAATTACAGTTCACTGCTTTATCAGCTACTCGATTTTCTTTTGATAAATCATTCTGGCTTGTTGAATTCATTTATAACATAGCACAGAGACTGGCACTATGGCATTGAAATAAGCGTATGTGTATTTTGTACACATAAATGTGTTTCTTCCTCCCTGTTTTCAATTCACTCATGCCGTTCATGTTTTCATGATAAGTCTTTTCTCCCAGTGCTTGTCATGTACATCCGCTGGGCAAGTAGGGTCATATGGGCAACAACAAAGACCACTGTGATTTGGGGCTGCATGACAAATGTCCTTTCCTCCTTGTCCACAGAGGAAAGCTCTCGGGTACAGAGCCCTGTGGGGTGCAGGGTGTACAGGCTCGCTTGGGCACAGTCACTGTGGTGGTCAGCTTCTTGAGGTCCTCCACCTCCCATGCTTTAAGGAGGGCCCTCAAGAAGCTGACCAAAGGAGAACAGGAAGTGAATTCCCTAGAAGCTGACTGTAAGTGACTAGACTCTTTGCTTAGTCTAATGTCAGAGAAATGTAAAAACCAAGGGCCCAGCTTCCAGGGATAGCATTGGGTCCAAAATAGCAAACAGAGTGAAAAGTAAACACACTTTTGAACTTATTTCTCTTTTTATCTAATTTTATTAAAAACATAAGTCAGGAAATGTATTAAACCTAACTATGGATTGTGTTATTGTTTCAGGCTTGATCAACATTTTCTTGGTATTGTGGAGAGGTCTGAGTCCCACCCAGTTGGAATGTTCTCAAACTGTGTCTAAGATTAGGAAGACTGTTATGTGGGGAAGAGACTTTCTGTGAAGGCAGCTACCCATCTGAATATTGTGAAGATTTCACCCAGGCTTTGTAAGCAGCAGAGAGATTTGTGCTTCTGTTTACACTTACACACAATCTTTGCTTCTTATGCACTCCAGCACGCCTATTAGCTCATTGTTCTCCTTCACCAGCCCAGCAGTGAAGAGACTGCTGGGCTGGAAGCAAGGAGATGAAGAGGAGAAGTGGGCGGAGAAGGCTGTGGATTCCCTGGTGAAGAAACTGAAGAAGAAGAAAGGCGCTATGGAAGAACTTGAGAGGGCTCTGAGCTGTCCTGGCCAGCCCAGTAAGTGTGTCACAATCCCACGCTCCTTGGATGGGAGGCTGCAGGTGTCTCATCGCAAGGGCCTGCCCCATGTCATCTATTGCCGAGTGTGGCGTTGGCCCGATTTACAGTCTCACCATGAATTGAAACCACTGGAATGTTGCGAGTTCCCATTTGGCTCGAAGCAGAAAGAAGTTTGCATCAACCCCTACCATTACCGGCGGGTGGAGACCCCAGGTAATATATCAGCTCTTTGGGTGAAATGTCTGTACTTGGTGCATCATAACTAATCCTGTTGTGAAATCATAACAAAGAAGGCTCTGTTCAGCTGGAAGGATCAGCTGTCTTTTCTGCTGAAAGGGATCCCAGATCTAGCTTCTGCCCATAATTGTGATTTACAAGGGACTCTCCTCTCCTCTGGTAGGATACAAGGAAATCCCATTGAAGTGTGAGAGGAGAATGGGACATCAGGAACTTGTCCAGGGTGCTGAAAGCTTTTTTCCTTTGATGTATTGGGTGCTAGCTTCCTTGAGAACCTCACTAGCTAACGTGCTGGCACTATTGTGCCCATTAGCATGAAATTGGGCACAAACTAGTCTCTTCATCCTGGTTGGATCTTTGCCCAACTCTAAAAGGACAAAAACTGATTTACTAATCCACAGTAAATGGCCTTTTTAAAGATTAGAGTGGATCCACAGGGATGGATTAATTGTCATGAAGGTGCACCAAAGATCCTAGACCTTAGATCAGTCAAGGCCTCTTAAAATACCTGGTGTCCTGCCGTTGTGAGTTTTTCATAGCTGGGTGGACACTTCTACCTCCTCCCCTCCCACCCCACCCCCAAGTCCACATGCAACTTTAAATTTTTCTGCTGAGGAACCTCTTCAGGGTAGACGTCAACCAGCATTGTAAATCCCTGCCCTTATCACGGGATCAAGTCAGTGGATTTGTGTGGGCAAAGAAACTGCTGAACAACGATTGTAAAATTATTGAGCCCAATCCTGGTCTTGTGGCAATTTACTAGTGAATAGGGTTTGTAGTTAGTAACTGTAAACCAGGTACCGCCATTGATGATCCTCTGTCAGTCATAAACTTTGAATTGATATGAAGATCAAATAAAATGAACCATGGGATTTTTCTTTTATTACTGTTTCATATAATTTAAGAGCGAGAAAGGCATTTATTAACATTAATGCAACAATGACTGCTCCCCTTCCTGATATTCCTTACTTTAAAACTGAGCTCTCACTCTGAAATGGATCTGAACTTCTAAAAACATTGATTTGTCTAAAATCTTACAGGTGAATTGATAGTTGTCTAATTTGCGTGGGAAGTGGTTGATTTAATGATTTACTAAAATAAGCTATTCAAATAATCTCAAAAAGACACTAAGATAATATCCATTTTCTGTAAGGTGACCAGATGTTCCGATTTTATAGGGACAGTCCCGATATTCGGGGCTTTTTCTTATATAGGCGCCCATTACCCCCTTCCCCCTATCCCGATTTTTCACACTTGCTATTTGGTCACCCTAATTTTGAGTATCTTTGCCTTTGAAAGGTTGTTAGCTTTATTGTCCTCTCACACTGGTGTAAGTCAGGAGTAATTCCATTTAAATCAGTATATTAATCACAAACAGTGCAGATCTTATGATTTATTCAGTGTCTGCTAACAGCTGTTATTCTGTGACAGTTCTGGATACTGCTGCAGGAGCTCTGAAGTTTGTCGTCTTTGCCCTTAAGCCCAGAGGGCTAAGGGTCAGGCTCTGTCAGTATCTGGTCCTGGTGTCGGGCACTCCTCTCCTTTGAACAAAATGTGACAGCTCCCAATTGTCTAGGCTGAAATCCATTTAAATAACAATTTTGGTTAGCTTCAGAAAAATACAACACTCTTCATATCTAACTGTGGTTTCTGTAGGCTTGTGTGAGTTTCTTTGCATCTTAGCCTCTGGAGCTAAAGAAACTGCATCTTGGATTGTTCAATAATAAACCCAGTGATGGTCACAGAACTGTTATGCTGTATTGATCTCCACAAATGTCCTTTATTTTTCAACTCACTCTTCCTATAAATTCCATTGTTCCCATTCTGTTGTCCCTTCTTCTGAGTGACCCATTCTATACTCCAATCCATAACTTAAATTCAAAACCAGTGGTTTTGATTTATTCAGTGGGTTCCTCCTATCCCAAAGACGGACGGGACTCACCATGGCAGAGGGGGGAAAGGGAAAGAAGGAGCAGTAGATATCCACCAGGGAGACCAACTCTTAAGCCCCAGCCTGGAACTCGAGATGCACTGACCCCTCTCTCTCTCCTCAGGCCACCTTGTCCGCTTTGTGACGTATGCTGAACGACAGAACATAGGTTGCGTGTGGCTTCTGCCACTGCCAGCCTCCCTCCAGTGACACTTCCCCAAGCCCACAACTCCTGGTGGAATCCAGGCAGTGACTTTGGCCCAGTGCGCAGTAGTTGCTGTTAGAAAGCACCACTGTCACTTCCCCATTTTTGAAACATCCCCTTGATTCGCAGAACTGAGAGTTGGAGATTAAGAATAATCCTTCCAATTTAGAGGTGGAGGATTGGGTGGCTAGAGTCATTTCCCCATTCTCCAGGTCAGAAGTTTGAGTTAGAAATGGATTACTGCCAACCAAAACTGCAATTTTAAAATAATGTAAAAACTGCCTGCTCTATTATTTTTAAATGAGATCACTCTGTGTACTGGGTCACAGATAATAGAGCTTCTAATATGCAGTGCTGCTGCAGACAGCAGAAGCAAAGGTGAACTTTTGACTTGCTATAAATGAGTTTCATTGACCAGAAAGGGTGGTAACTCCCCAGCCAGTGCGCTGCCTAAAAATCTACTCCACAATATTTGTATGGTTGTTAGCATGGAAAAGTGGCTGTGGTCCACGAGTGAAAAGGACCCTGTGAAATGATTTGAATCCTTGTGAAGCTTAAAACTGAAATGTGTCTCTTGACCATTTTCCCCCTTCACATGCTACATGTTGTTGTTACTGTAGGGTTGCCCATGATCAAGGACACAGGGAAAGTTCAGGGAAGGGGGGAATCTCATTTAGGACTGCACTCTCAGGAGTGTAAAACTCTGCAGCCGCGCACAAGGGTCAGAACCTGAAGATGTGCTATTGTACCCAGAAGCAGATTAGGGGTTTGTGGGGCCCTGGGCCAGAGCAAGTGGGGGCCCCTTCCACCTGCAGTCCCCCCACCCCCTCCCGGTGCTCCTGCCGGGGAAATGGGGTTGGGGTGTGGGGGCTTCCCTCTCCCGCCTGGAACTCCTGGAGGGGCGCAGTGGCTTGCCTTGCCATGCCCTGTCCGTCCAGCACAGCTGCTGGGGAGTGGGGTTTGGGTGCGGGGGCTTCCCCCGCTCCCCGGCAGGAGTGCCGGGTGGAGCAGGGCAAGCCTCTGCACCCTGACCCCACTCCCCGGCAGGAGTGCTGGGGTGCACATGGACGCCCCAATTTGCCAAGGCCCCTGGGCATGGGCCCTGTTGGCACAGTGGCTAAACCGTCACTGATTGTACCCTTCATTAAACAACTATATGGGGGGAAAAATGTGTGGAAAATTTGTTGTGCTCATTAGCAACTGCAGCCACAGGCACAACAGGCAGGTGCATGTGTAAGTGCTCAGAGTGCCACACAACTGTCTTCATCTGGTGCCTGGCCAGGTTTTCAGCAAGACCTACCGCAATAGATGAGGGTGGAAGGCATAAAGAATCTAGTCCAGGAGCAGCAATGGCAGGACTCGGGATCAGCCCATTAGTCACCAGATGTGCTAGGGGCACATTGTCATACTCCTGTAATGAGCAGAAGGAATAATATACCCCCACAGGGCCAGCTACAGATATTGGACAAAAGGTGGGGCAAGGGAACAGCGGTGAGTAGAGATGATCTAGGTAAATCACTCGCACAGACTGGGTGTGACGGGGTCATACAGGGTTTCAGTGTCAGACCTGTGGTTACCCTATCTCCAGCATGGCCATCTCTTACGATTCAGAGAACGGCATCTGCGGGCAAAGGAGCAGGGAGAATAAGGAACCTCTGGAGATTCACTAGCCACAAACGGAAAAAACCTCCACCCTCCTTGCTACCCCAGTAGCTTCACCCCTCTAGGCACAGTATGGCGTAGGCAGCAGAAAGATGGAGTGCTGTGACAGAAGCAGTGCACTGGAGAAGTGTGGGTGTGCCAGTCAGAACTGGGGGGATATAACAGTTTATCAAGCTTATGGAGCTGCAAGGCTTGGAAACTCCGCTTGCCCACTTATCCTGGGCAAGTAGGAAGCCTTCCCTGGCAAGTGCCATCAGCACCTGCAGACTTTCAGGGGTCATTTAGGCAAAGAATTGTTTCTAGTCCTCATGGTGGCAAAGAAAACCTTCCAAATACAAAGAGAGCACAGGTGATCCAGTGCTAGCTTCCTAAGTCTATAGACAGGCTACTGTAGTTTGACTGCTCCTGCTCAGAGCTTCCACAAACTACAGTACAGTGAAAACTGACCATGGCCATCCCCTTTTTGGCTGCTATGAACCCTGTGGGCCGCCAGGAAACTGACAAAAGTCAGGTCAGTTTCATGTTGCTGCTTGGGGAAATTCTGAAGAGCAGCCAGCATCAAGCACTGGAGCTGTTCATTGGAGAAAGAAGACTTTTAAACCCCAACAGCTAAGGGAGAGGTTGAGCAGCAGAGACGCATCACAGTAAGGAGATGGAGATGGGGGGGGGGGGGCACCACCAACCCGAACTCATTGCAACCAGGAGAGAGGAACAGGAAAGAATATTCCTTCTTCTTTCCAGCAGCCAGAAGGGATTCGTGTCAGGTTGGAGGGTTCCAGTTTATTGGACACATTCAGGCAAGAGGCAGATTAGAAAGATGGAGTCCTAGAGTAGGACCCGTGGACAGCACCCTGGTAGGAATCCCAGTGCCTTCCCTGTTTCCCAGTAGTTGAGGTGATGGCTTTTCTCTTGGGCATTGCCTCTGGACAGTGAATCCCTTCCCTACTCCATTCCAACCATTTGTACTGGGCTTTAATACTCAGTCCTCAGGCTATTAGGTGTTATGTGCCTGTGGGTGGGTGGGAGTGTTGGGGGAAGCAGGAGATAGGAAAAGGTTGATGGGATAAGTTATGAAAGAGCAATATGATATTGAAAGAGATTGGTGGGTGGCAAATGGGGAAGACAGGAGAAACAGAATATCTGGGGGCGAAATCTAGTGGATACAATGTTGGGCAAGAAAAAGAACACAATATGAAGAGAGAGAGAAGGAAAATTTAATAACAACAGATGCTACAGACAGGAAAAGTTGCACCCCCATTTTTCACAGAAAAGAGAGAGAATGAAGTGAAACAAGGAAGTCTAACAAAAAAGGTGATCGTAAGTTACATTCATAAAAATCTATTAAATGGAAAATTAATTGACAATTCGCTATCATTAAATACAGCACACAGCTCTGTCCCTTTCCATTGCTGGGGGCATGACCTTGGGAGCAACATAGCAGTACAAGATAATTTTCACCCTTGCTAGTAGGGCTAGTCCTTGGACTAGAGTGCACAAAAGGTTATTCCAGGCATTTAAGGTGCATTCACTGACGCTGCTATGCTGCTAGCAACCATATTTATCCAAGTCTATCTTGCTGCTGTTCTTACATGGATTCCACCATGAGCACCATGACTCCCCTGTTTCTCTGGACCTGGGTTGAAATACCAGAACAAATAAATGAATTGATATTCTGAAAGGAATGCTATAGACCAATCCTACTCGACACCTGTCTGTATTTTCAGGTACCTAAATACCTTTTAAAAACTGGCCTCTAACCTCTCCATGCCTCCGTTTCCTCATCTGTAAAATTCAGGTAGTTATACTGACCCCTATCCCTGAAAAGTGCCAGATATTATTATTTATTATTAAAGTGGGCTCTGAGTTTGACAAATCCTGCTTATCAAGAGTGTTGTGCAAATCTCTGACTTCTTCAGCGTCCCAGAAAAGAGATTGTGAGAGCTGTAATTTTAATGGGTATAAATGTGCCACTTCCGTTATTTTAGGGGGGCGGGCGGTATGTGTGCGTGCATACTACCTCTCCTTGTTGAAGACAGTTGGAGTTTTGTTCATGTAGCAGCTGCAGAACTGGGCCTGCTATCTGAAAGCTTTAGTCATATTGTGTAAGGAATGGTAGTGTTGCCACTGAAGAAAGAAGAAAGCTCAGTTGCTGAGCAGATTTATTATCCTCTAGTTTCAGTGAGGGGTGCTGGATGAACTGAGTTGTAACAACAACAAACTGTGAGGACTCTGGTAAAGGGTATTTAAAATATGTTTGTAACACATTTATAGCAGCATTCAGAGGATAGTATACGTGAAGTGATGTTTTGATAGTGTGGTGTGTCGCTCAGATGCAGAAAGAGATACAGCACGCTAGAGTGGGTGTTTGACTAAAACTTGTACTCGCTTGTTTTTACTTTCAGTGTTGCCTCCAGTACTGGTTCCAAGACACAGTGAGTTTAACCCACATCTCAGCCTCCTTGCCAAGTTCCGGAGTGCTTCCCTCCACAGCGAGCCTCTGATGCCACATAATGCCACCTATCCTGATTCTTTCCAGCAAACTCCCTGCACCCCTTTTCCATCATCACCCAGTAACATGTTCTCTCAGTCACCTAGCAGCATCAGCTATCCTAACTCTCCAGGAAGTTCTTCTGGACCAGGAAGTCCATATCAACTCACAGGTAAGAGGTAATGGTGGTCTCCAGATGCCCACCCATGCCAGTGAATGTGAATGCAGGAGGAGATCCTGCATGGTGTTTGGAGACTGAAGCAAAAGATGGACATGCTCTGTTAGGAGGCTGAATAGATGAAAAGAAATCGAATGAGGCTCTCCTTTAATAGAGGCTGTGAGCTCTGGGCAAACCCAGTAGCTCTCAAGGAGCTTAGAAACTCCAGCAGGAAAGTCAGTGGAGCTTGTGAACTTCCCAAGTTCAATAGGTTTGTGCTTCTCCTTGGGGGGAGAGGGGGCGGGGGAAACAGGGAAAGTAAAATATAAAGACATTTGTTGATGTCACTTGAAGTTCGTGAATAGAAAGACTTAATTCAGGAAATTAAAAAGGTAACTGATCTGATCCAGCACCCACTGCAGATGATGGAGGGACTCCCATTGACTTCAGAGGATGCTGAGTCAGCTCCAAGGTTTCCTTCTTTCTAAAATTCACTCATTCATGTTGCACATATTGTGAACCTCTTACTTTTTAAAGTTTCTAGGACTATATTGATACTCGTGGTGTTCAACATATGCCATGTGAAACAACTCCAAATTAACATTACTACAGAAATCTTGGCTCAGATTCTGCTCGTGTTACACCAGTGTAAATCCATTGATTTCAACTTTGGGTTTACATGGATGTAATTCAGAGCTGAATCTTGCATCTTAACTTTTGAATGTCTTGACTTTTGAGCATCTAAATTCCTGTCCTTAATGTTTTCATTTGTCCTTTATTTATTTATAATCTGACACTATGGACATAGGAAGATTTTGTTTTCCTACTTTTTCTATCGTTTCTTTTTTGCGTCTTTAATCATTTTAGCTCATATTCCACAACCTCACTGATGTACTCCCCAGAATGACAGGGTATATGTAGGGCCTCTCTTCTCACTCACTGTGGTTTTACACCTGGGTAACTGTTGACTTCAATGGAGCTGCTCCTGATTTATACTGGTGTCCTTGGAAGGTGAGGCCTGTCGTAAATTACACCGTGTGGCTGTCCTGCCAATTCAGCTGATCCTGAAAGCTTGTAAAACCACTTGAAAATGTAAGTGGCTTGATCTGCATTTTCGCATATCAGCGCATACATGATTCTGAATTGGAGACAAAATTATTTGATTGCGATTCAGTCAGGGACAGCTGAGTTTAATTTTTAAAAGGCTGTGGTGATTTCAGGAACCTTCAAGATGTGCAATAGCCATCTGGGTAACCGCATGACCCTTTTTTCATAACCTTCATCTTCCCTTCCCCCTTCCTTCCTTTTCTTTGTCACTCTCACTTGTTGAATCTTCTCACAAATTAGATTGTAAGTTACTCAAGACGGGCTAGCTTATTGATGTGTTTGTACAGTGCTTAGCACAGTGGTTCCCAAACTTTTTATTAAGGCGACCCACCAACTGCAGTTCATCTCTTTTGTGGACTGTGAACCTTGTACTGGACGGGGAAGGGTTAACTCTACATTGTGGGTTGAGGAAGCCATGCCCACTGTACTCTACTGGGCATGCTCCAGGTGGACTGGTATAAAAGGGAGCAGCTCGGCTCCGTTGGGGCTGACTGCCGTGGAGGAAGGACGTGTGCCACCTGCCCCAGTCAACACTCATCGGAAGTCCGGGACCCTAGGAGCCGGGGATGCCGCAGCCCAGGCAGACGCTAAGGCAACCCCGGAGGCCTCACAGGGTTCGAACGTGCCGGAGAAAGGGCAGACTGAAGAACCTAGAGGTAACAGGGACGCCCAGACCACGGCAGCAGGGACGACGGCAGGAAGCAGCCCAGGGGAATCAGATGGCGGACCGGTGAGTGAGCCGAAGCCTTGAGTCAGTGCGTTTCGGTCAGAGCCTTCCCCTGCTGATTCAGTGGCCTGTGCTACAGCCACTAATAGGGCCCTGGGCTGGGGTCCAGTGGAGCGGGAGGGCCTGGACCCCCCTGCTGGGGGTGCAACCCCTCCCTCTGTGTCTGGCAGTGGCCGCTAGGCCTTACTGCCCTGCTGACAAGGGCGAATTTATTGACTCTGGTCACTAAGCCTTGCAGCCCTGTGGACAGAGGCGAATGTAGTGATTTGGGCCATTAGGCCTTACCGCCCTGCGAAAAGGAGTGGATTTCCCGACTCTGGCCATTGGACCTTACTGCCCTGCGTAAAGGGGCGGATTGACTGACACTGGCCCCTACGCCTTACTGCCCAATTGACAAGGGCAAATTTATGGACTCTGGCCACTAGGCCGCACCGCCCTGCTGATAAGAGCGAGCGTATGGACTCTGGCTGGGAGGGACGTAGATGTAAAATACGCCCCCCCGCCCCCACACACACACACACATTCCCTAGGAGAGGCGGACCCACTTGCCCTGCACAGGACGGGGTTTCCCCCAAACCCTGTCACACGTGGTGGAGAATGTGGGCAACGACCCAGGCCTGAGGAGAGGTCTAAAACCAGTAGAGCCGAGGGGAGTACAGATTCTCCCCTTGATTGCCCTGACTTGCTAGTGACCCGAGATTACTGGACACCAGCATGGAGTCGGATAAGGTTTTGAAATGGCTCCTAGAAAGCCAGCAGCAACAAGCCGCACAACAACAGCAGCAGCAATACGCTCAGCTGTTGCAACAGGTGACGAGCCACCAACAGGAGATGATGTAGGAGTTGGCTGCCCAGCAGCAAGCCCACCAGGAAAGGCTTGTCCAACAAATGACAGCATTACTGTGGCCAGGTGGGCTGTCAGTCAACCCTCTAGCGGACCCTCACCCGAGATCTCTATCATCTGGCCTCCCTCTAAGGCTCACAAAGATGGGGCCTGGGGATGATCCTGAAGCCTTTCTCATGACATTTGAACGGGTGGCCACCGCTGCACGATGCCCAGCAGGACACTGGGCCACCCTTCTAGCCCCTTACTTAACGGGGCCAGCCCAGGCGGCCTACTGCAGCCTGGACACCCAGGACACCCTGGATTATGAAAAGGTTAAGGCAGCCTGTCAAGGCTGGATCCCCACTTTGAACTTTAGGGTTCAAATGTAGGGGCCTGCATGATAATTTCTAAGCTTATCTACCAGCTTAGCTTTGGTCCGCTGCCACCAT